ATACACATATATTGAGATATTAATACTACAGTTTAATAAAGTAGGTTTTAATATTCCAGAGATGTATTAAATAGTCCTTATACTACTAAATTATAAGTCGGATACTGTTTAAAAAGGATAAGTTCTTTACAATATGACAACACCGATTAGAGGCGAGGGAGCCTATTCATTCATTTATTACCTTGTAGTACGTGTCGCACGTGTGCGGTAAAGCTTTGTTGCCGCTATCTCCCCGGCTGTATTAACGCATTTTCTTAGCTTGTAGTGCTTAAGTGTTTATTTTATTGACTTTTTCTGTTCAAGAACTATAAAATATGGTTCGCCAGTGCCAAATTTGCAAGAAATTTGACTTAAATAATCCATTTAAGTCTTGAAACGACTTTTGACCGGTAGGCAACTCTCAATTTACCCATTGGGAGTCAGTGGCGTTGTTGTAGAAAGGCGCTTATTTAGATAATATTTTAGTAAAATGTAAAATCTGAATTTTTTCTCTTACATTACATTATTTACTTACTTACATTGTAACAAAATCATAATTATAACCCTGTTAATAATTAATAATGTTTTTATTAAAAATATATTCCGGTTTATTCTAAAATTATCTTCAGAATCTAAAATAACATACAAGAATTTTAAAATGATATTACATTATGAAACAATATTTTTTAATATACCGGGTCGTCTCAAAAGTGGTTCACCCCTATAACTTTTTTTATTTTTTCAGATAAAAAAACAGATTTGTATGTTAGTAGGTATATGACATAAATTAGGATTTATTGACGTATTCAATTGTTTTTGGTCTCTTCCTGTTTCACCGAAATGATGACATCTTTTGATTTTTAAAGGCACCCTCGGTATATTGCTACTTTATTCGATAAAAAATGACACTCTGAATAGAATGACATATCATATGTCAACTTTTGACAATGTCGCTTAAAAACATATCCTATTTTAAATTTCAATCCAGTTTTTTCAATCCACAAGTTTTAATCAAGGAGCCTTGGAAAAATAGTTTTGATCGTCTAATAGGTTTCGTGTCTTGTCTAGGCCGGTTAAAAGATGTACAAATCGTATTTTTAATCATACATATGTCAATTTTTTCAAATGGAACAAGGGTGACTCATTAGCATATTTGGAAAAAGCATTTTTTTATGAATATATTGATACCACACACTTGGTATTTCGAGTCAAATTGTCGTTATGAACCGCGTGTTACAATTACAATTAAACCATATGCAAAAATGTCAAAAGTTGACATATGATATATGTCATTCTATTCAGAGTGTCATTTTCCATCGAATAAAGTAGAAATATACCAAGGGTGCCCTTTAAAAATTAAAAGTTATAGTCATTTCCGGTGAAACAGGAAGTGACCAAAAACAATTGAATGCGTCAATCAATCCTAATTTATGTTATATACTAACATACTAAATCTTGTTTTTTTTATTTGAAAATATAAAAAAATTATGGGGATGAGCCACTTTTGGGACGCACCCGGTATAATGAAGACAGTACCGAGTTAAATAAATGTAGTTTTCATTTTATCCACTTTCTATCACCTTCCTTGCTTTAATGGAACAGGTTTATGTTTTCTCTAATTTACATAATAAGACATCACTTAACCAGAAATAAAATTACAACAATCATATTTTTTTTTTCTCCCTGTCGCCGATTCTATTATATCTGTGGAATAGATCCTGTTTTGATTAATATTAGGGGTTGTAAATGTTTGACTAAAATTAATAATTTATTATTAATTTCAAAAATTACGTAATTTCGATTATAAAATTTCTTCTATGACGTGTATTTTAATATTTTTATCCTTTTTGGACTCTAAGACGTTTTTTCTAAACTTTTATTTAAAAAACCTGTCTTAAATCTTAATAAAATATAAAAAAGTTTCAATACGATATATTTTTAATTTAATTATAGCTTCATTAAAATAAAAAAATTACCCGGCTATGATACGGAGAGTTCAGGTGTACTTGAGAAACGAAAGACAGTGTTGTGTTTCTCGGCAGAGTCGTCAGGGAACGACCGTTACGACAGAGACAACCTATCTATCGCTCGTGTCGCACTCGTTATAACCTAAAACAATAACACAACAATAACAAGACAGTGTCTGACCGCATGTTCCAGCTATTTATGAATGAGATGCTCAGTCTATATTTTATTTTAAGTCTATGGTCCAACGAGAAGATCCTTGACAGTGATAGATGTGTCTGTCATTTTAATTTCAAAGTAGTTTATTTTATTTTACAAAGAAATAAGTTGGTACAACTGGAACGCATAGCAGGAAATATTTAAAATTTGATTGACAAGATGACAAGTGATTACTTCAAAATATTGTGAAAAAAACTTTATAAAACTGAAAAAATGTAATCGAGTTATTTTATTTAATAAAAACGGTATGTGTTAATACAAAACAAACAAGAACAAGACACTACATACCAAAAAAATATAAAAGAACTATTATTTACTTTCAAGCTTTATGAAACTACCCGCATTTATGATTATATTTATCAATATAACTTATGTACAAATACAAATTTGTAATATTCCACAGGAATTAATAAAACAACATAGGTAAATAAAACAAACTATTTTATTAATAATAACACCTACCAAATTTTATACCTTAAAGGTTGATTAATTAACTTTAATCTTAATTTTTTTAAACCAGTACCTTTTGACATTATTTTTCTGCAGTACTAAAATACATTATTTACCTATCGTGTGATGTCGATATTTTACAGCTACTTCAGTTTTTAGTATGTGTTTAGTTTGATCCTTCTACCATATACGAGATGCACTTATCTACGACGAAATGGTATACAAACTTTATCGATGGCAACTTCATTGGTGTATAAGACTTTCTGCCTGGGCAGCGAATATTAACCATAAACTGTGCTCTGGGTCTACAGTTAATTTTCACTTAATTTTCCCTCCACTTGACTTCAAAAGACACAAAACACACGTAATAATACGAATCAAAATGCATCATCTTCCAAAACGCAGGGTATTTAACAAAAGTTGACACAAAATTATAACCTATAATTTGGCAAGACTTTGACAAGCGTCAAAAATGACAAAAATCTAAAGGCGAGTTCATACGCATCGGCGTCCGTTTGTCGTTCATCGTTCCGTCAAACCAATAAAATTGAAATACGATCTGTCATTTTTTAAATAAACCAATAAAACTGGTTAAAAACAACAAGACACGACGCATGACGGATTTATATTTAAACCCATCCATAGATAACTTAAAAATTATTAGAAACTTTTTTTAGTAAAATAAATAGATTGGTATGGGACGTCATCTGCTTTTCTTCTGTCATCGTCTGTCGAAATCTTACCCGAGGAAAAAAACAGAGTATATTTTCTTTTATCTATGATCGTACGATCTGTCTCCGTTGACGGGCTGGAGTAAAAAAATTACAGATGAAAAGTGGCGCGAAAACGCTATGACCAATCACAGCGCCGTAGGACCAGCGTATTAACGGATAAGGCTAAAGAAATTAACGGATAAGGCTAAAGGCTAACAAAGCTTAAGACGCAAGATTACGTGTATATGGGGCTTTACATCATATTTAACACCTTATAAAAATTATTATTATGCCAATGGATGATAGTGTGTACGTAAATACGATACAATAGGAAAAGGTATAAAATTTATAACCGGGCTTAAATAGTATATAGCATATTTCGTCAACCATGATAAAACAAAGCTGTACTAAAACAAATTTCATTTTACAAATTTAGCGTCTGTTTATGCCTGTAAAAGCGACCGTACCAGTGCCTAATAAAAAACCATGTCAAGTTTCCGGATGGCCTGGCTTGGACTCGTTTTATGAGACAAAGTTACAGCGTGACAGGGCATATATATGAGATTGTCAGGTGCCGTTTAGCGTTGCCATGTTGTTGCGAAATTTTGCCACGACCAAAATATTAATTGGGAATTTTTGGCCAGACTAAGGGGAACGCTGCTGGAAAAAGGACACGTATTGAAAGGGTCAATTCAAGTAATGGCTTAGCTACAAATTTCTTATTAGAAGCTTCAAAAAATGTTGATTATTTTTATTAAAATAAATAGCGTGCTTTAGATCTATAGTTCATTCCAAATCAACTTTTAATCACGTGATTAAGCTTGACCGGCACAGCGTTGCCCACTTTTACATATTTTCTTATAATCAAAATATTTTAGGAAACAAAAATAAATTAATTGTAAATATATAAACAGTTATTATTTACATCAACAAAGATTACTACATCGACAACACTTAAGGGACATTAAGGGTTATTACTATTACTTTCCCGTTTAAAATATTCTAATAAGGTTGCGATAAATTTTTTGCAACGGCTATTAAGCTATCTTGTACCACTTCGCACTAAAACAGGTTTTAAAAAGTTGGACTGCAAGTTCTGCTAACGAACATTTTCTGTAATGGTAATCATTGGAAGTAAAAGCTATACTGTGCGAACAAACACTAGAGGCGCTGCTTATCATTAAAAAATTAACAAATATTCATTTGCTTTTTCAATATGTCAATATTTTTATTTCGTTGTGTCTTATGAATATTCAGTGTATAATTTTGGCATTTTCCTCATTAATTACTGGTGTATTTGTACTTATTTTACCAAGAACATTTTATTTTAATTATTCATATTTAATAGCAATATTTTTTTCGACCGAGAACGCAAACCTACAAAGAACTGTAGCGGTCCTAATTGCGACAACAGAAATGACAGTTTTTTTCGTTTTCCAAATCCCCGGAAAGATTCGAATTGTTTTGTACGTTTTTTTTCAGTTTATAGGTATGTAAAATACATAATTTATAATAACATCAATAAGTGTTTTATTTTTATAAACATTCGATCGGATAGGTATGTTAAAATTAGATTATATGTTATATATAAATTACAATTATTTTTTATTGTAATTTTTAATATTTATAATGTAATTTTAATATACCTATTTCGTTACAATTAAAAAAATGTTTGTGTAATATTCAAAAAAAAATTAAACTAAATATAGGGATCGATATTTCATGAATTTAGTGCGCGAACAAACTCAAGGGGGCGCTTTTTTTATTTTCATTTCATGACATATAAGTCAAAATTCTAAGGGAGATGTTTAGTGATTTAAACCAAAAACTCGCAATACAAAAAACGAATAATAATGTCAGGAAATAAATAAATAAATGTGAGACAGCGGGAAATTTAAATTCCAGTTAGTCAGCCCGACGCCGAATAAGTCCACGATTGGCCAATAATGAATTTAAAAATCGCTCCTTCGATTACGTAACTAAAAGTGTAATTGGTAACAAATATGTGCTATGCCATAGGAAAATTTCAAAAGTAATTTAAATGGATTTTATCCTCCCCTCCATATACCAGTAAAATTCATCTGATTGTAATCCTTCTAGTTAGTATATTTTTAACAATGGTAATAATGTGACATCGGTATTGGTTGACTGAAATAACAACTTTAATGTTATAAATTCCAATTCACTTATATTCCATTCGGACAGTGTCCCCAACACTTTCAAATTCCAACAAGTCGTAACCAGTAACTCCACTGATAAGTCAGTCAAATTGCTTGCGTAGCTAAAAATCAGTTCTTCTAGTTGCGGAAAGTTGTGTTCAGTAACTAACCTGTAGAAATACACCAAAAAATCATTATTAATGAAGATATTTTCTTCTACTTTATCTATTTTCGTTACCTTAGTATATCTTCATCGGTAAAATCCACAGAAGATCCAATATGGATTGAAATTGCTTCAGGAGTACTGACCATCAGAGACATAACATCCTTATCACTAATATCACAGTAAATGAGTTGTATTTTACTTAAATACCTAAAAGTTAATTTATCTAGGTTGGGGAATTCCAGATTCATGTAATAACACTCTAGAGTTTTAAGGTTCTCAGCATATCTAGCCAGAAGTCCTATGTCCAAAGCATCTAGCTTATTGTGATTTATTTTGAGTACCTCAAGTTTGTTTTGTGACTGGCTTAGGTACTTAATAAGTTCATTTGTGTTCCCTACAATGAATTTGACTTTAAGTTAGGTTAGGTTAGTTTAAAACTAAATTTAAGTCATGAGATATAAGAAAGTTTATACCATAGGTATATAATACGGTACTTATAGTAATAAGCGATACTGTGGTCTTGTTAGATCAGGCTAGTGCTAGATCTGCAAGACCAACAAACATGCAATCCTCTTGCGGTTTTTCTTTTTTTATTTACATCTCATTTTTTATAGATAGTATCCTTGTATATGAATTTTTAAAGTAGCTCAACCTAAGATGTTTATGGATGTTAAGCACCAGATGGCGGGGCGTATTTCACAGTCTTTTACTACAGAAAAATATTTTTTGTTACTCTGAATTTTGAAGCGACCAATAAAAACAGAGAAAATAAAAATCGATAATTTTCGGACTGTGCCAATTGGTTACTAATCGACCAGATACTTTTTGTCTATTATATATGCTATAAAAGCTGGTAATTACACAATACGACCATTGTAAATACCCGACAAATTTCGCAAGGCCGACGAGGCCGATGCTTTTCACTGATAAGAAAAAAAAATGTTTGTTTAGATAATTTTCGAGATATTTTTTCTTTCTGAATGCACATTTTTAAAGTATTTTATATTCTTTGTATGCTTGATCTATTATACTGGTGGCACGTATCGAGATTCTGTTTCTTCTAGTTTTAAAAAATGTTCTTATTTCTTTGTAGTTGTAGTGTAAAATTAGATTAATTTTATTAAGTTTAATTATAATGTTTAGTGTAGAATCCCAGAAATAGTTTAGTAGTGTTTTTATAGTTTATTATTTTGCAGTTAAGTAGTAGGTGAAAGGATAATTTGGTTATTTTTTCTTTTTGTTTGATTAATTAGTAAGTTTGATAATTTTTTCAGTGTAGAAGTGGTTGAAGTAGTGAAGAAGTAGTTGTGTAGTGTTTTTATAAGAGATTATATTAGTTTATTTTGTTAATATTTATTAACAAATATTTATTAGATATTAATAACAGATCAGTAGTAGGTGAAGGTATTTTTTCTTTTTGTTTTTCTTCTAATTGTAGTAATTCTATTAAGTATTGTGATAGATACACTATATCTTCCTTCAACTTCGTTGAAAAGTGCCTTATCATATAATTGTGGTTTTCTGGTAGTAGAATATACGAAGAAAAAATCTGATCAAATTTATTTTAAATTAAATTAATCGAGTTTTATTAATCAAATTAATCTAGTCAAATAATAATAATAGTTTCTAAATATTAAACAGGGTGAGTTTCCTACGATGTTCTCTATGGGTATCTCGGAAACTATTGGAGATAGAGTCGGTTAAATGGGGAAAAAATTGCAGTTTTGTGGGGTCATAAATATGCGCCTTTCGGATTTTTCGGAGAAATTCAAGGCTTACTAGATATTTCGAAAAAAACAAATTTTGGCTATTTTAAAACTTTGTCTCTAATTCCATTATAATCTACCGTATGATCGAATAAAAACGGCGTCAACGATGGCTATGAAATGAAGATCGCTGTCATTTTATACCTATGTAAAATTATATGGGAAATATCATCGATCGTCATTTCATGGCCATCGCTGAAGCCGTTTTTATTCGATCATACGGTATTTTAGACAAAAACTTTTCAGATAAAAGTTGTAGATAATCACATACCTAATGAGTTTGTGTTTTCTGTTTTTTTTCTAAAGCCTGTCATTTTTGACATATGACACAAACATTATGTTTTTTTTTAATGGAAACCATAGTTGGCCATGACTTCATAAAAAGCGCCATTTTTTAAGCTTTTCAGCGATATAGGTATAATATGTTTTTTTCGAAAAATTACAAGTTATAGCCAATTCTTTTCTTTCTTGGCTAATTTCCATACCAATAATATCATGCCAATTAGTTGGCATCAAAAATGTAAAAAGTTTCATGTTTTCAAAAAAAATATCATAAAATTCGTAAAGCACTTAATTTAGAATAAAATAATCTAAGAATGAAATGATTCTTTTATAAACCTGTATTAAATCAAATTAAAATAGGTATGTAAGTTTTTTTTAAATATTAATTAACAGCAATTAGCATTATCATAAATTATAAATAATGTACCAACATATCGAAATAATAATTTCTTTGTTAATACGGTTTAGAATTCTTAAAATAACAGGCAAAAATAATCCACAATTTACAATAAAATAAAAGTTTCGTTTAAATTTCTTAATCAGCTGATCACTATTAAAGTTCGCAGAAACCCTGGGCTGTATTATTGCATTACTCTGAGGAAAATAACGAAAATAATCGACATTTTTGACTCCGCCCCGAAAGGTTCACGATTTGTCCTCCAGTTGGCAGCACATTTTGTCTAGTCGGTTGGGCAACTTTAAGAATATATAAACAAGGATAGTATTTAAAAAATAACGAATTTTTTATTTACTCCACCCTATTATTTTTCTATTTTTAATAGTCTCTTTAGTTGTCAGTTTTGAGTCAATATTTTTTAATTCTCTTTCGTGTCGATTGCTGACTGAATTGGAGCCAGAAATGGCTCAAAACGAAATAAGTAAATTACCAACAAATATTCAGGTTGAGGGGATAAACGCCATATCCAAACTACCTCCATTTAAATCCCGAATAACTTATAAAAAAGAATACAACAATTTTCAAAAATGGAAGTAATTAAAAAACGCGCGAGAAGAAATAAAGTTTTTAACCTATCCTCGCTGTTTTATTTATTAAATTAAGTTACCTTGTGTCAATTTCAACGTATGTAGATCCTTCAAACGATGAAACTGTTCAACCACTCCTTCACAAGGTGTGTGAAAATAAGCATAGTTTAGCTTAGGACAGGTGGCAACTATGGCATCGAAAACATCCAGGGTTGTATCAGTGTCGTAAACATACGTAAGTTTCGTGACAAAATCTGGATTTTTACGGTGTAGTAATTGAAGAGCGTGACCAGCGAATGAGTAGGTTTTTAACACGGCTAAATTTGGGAGATTTTCTATTAGAGCAGCCACCAGAGAGATGCTGGTTTCTACCCCGAAGCCTAGGTCTTTATTTCCATAGTTTCCTATATCCAGTACCACCAGTGACTCGTTTTTAAATGCCCTAAAACGTCATGCAATTTGTATACGCTTTGGAACAACTAAACTTTTTTTATAAAGGGTTTAGTCGGATTAATATAGGAAATCTGTCCCCGCGGCTTTTTTGACTCGCGCTCAGGTGATCGATTTGGTGTCGAATCAAAATAATTCACCTAAATTTTTAGTTCTGTAACTCAAACGGTTTTCGAGATTTTCAAATAAACCTGTTTTTTCAATTTTGTTTTTATTTTTAGAGCAAAATTCAAAATTAATTAATGAAAATTCAAAATTAATTAATGATGTTTTGTGTTACAGAACTAAAAATTTAATTAATTTTAAGATTTTTTTTACTAAGAAGTCTTAGATTGAATAAATATAGAAATAAAATGCTAAAATGTTGTGTAATTCATTGAATATCTGTTAATTCCGATTTTTTTAAAACTAAATAACAGTGGAATACCTATTTATATTGTATGACACAAGTTTTCTACGATGTTCTCTTGGAAACTACTGGAACTATACTCTGTTTTTTTTCTCAGGTAAGATTTCGACAGGCGATGACAGAAGAAAAGCAGATGACGTCCCAAACCAATCTATTTATTTTACTAAAAAAAGTTTCTAATAATTTTTAAGTTATCTATGGATGGGTTTAAATATAAATCCGTCATGCGTCGTGTCTTGTTGTTTTTAACCAGTTTTATTGGTTTATTTAAAAAATGACAGATCGTATTTCAATTTTATTGGTTTTACGGAACGATGAACGACAAACGGACGTCGATGCGTATGAACTCGCCTTTAGATTTTTGTCATTTTTAACGCTTGTCAAAGACTTGCCAAATTATAGGTTATAATTTTGTGTCAACTTTTGTTAAATACCCTGCGTTTTGGAGGATGATGCATTTTGATTCGTATTATTACGTGTGTTTTGTGTCTTTTAAGTCAAGTGGAGGAAAAATCGAGTGAAAATTAACTGTAGACCCAGAGCACAGTTTATGGTTAATACTCGCTGCCCAGGCAGAAAAAAGATAAAGTATGTATACCATTTCGTCGTAGATAAGTGCATCTCGTATATGGTAGAAGGATCAAACTAAACACATACTAAAAACTGGAGTAGCTGTAAAATATCGACATCACACGATAGGTAAATAATGGATTTTAGTACTGCAGAAAAATAATGTCAAAAGGTACTGGTTTAAAAAAATTAAGATTAAAGTTAATTAATCAACCTTTAAGGTATAAAATTTGGTAGGTGTTATTATTAATAAAATAGTTTTTTTATTTACCTATGTTGTTTTATTTATTCCTGTGGAATATTACAAATTTGTATTTGTACATAAGTTATATTGATAAATATAATCATAAATGCGGGTATAGTTTCATAAAGCTTGAAAGTAAATAATAGTTTTATTTTATATTTTTTTGGTATGTAGTGTCTTGTTCTTGTTTGTTTTGTATTAACACATACCGTTTTTATTAAATAAAATAACTCGATTACATTTTTTCAGTTTTATACAGTTTTTTTCACGATATTTTGAAGTAATCACTTGTCATCTTGTCAATCAAATTTTAAATATTTCCTGCAATGCGTTCCAGTTGTACCAACTTATTTCTTTGTAAAATAAAATAAACTACTTTGAAATTAAAATGACAGACACATCTATCACTGTCAAGGATCTTCTCGTTGGACAGACTATAGAGAGTCGGTAATGGTCTACTATGGTTTCCATTTAAAGAAACATATGTTGTCATATGTCAAAAATGAAAAAAAACGAAGAATCACAATCTCATTAAGGATGTGATTATTTACAACTTTTATCTGAAAACTTTTTGTCTAAAATAGATTATAATGGAACTAGCGTGTACGCGCGACTTCGTTCGCGTCGAATTAATCATTTCTAATGGTGATGATAAAGCAAAGCAAGAATTTCCATTAACATACAAACTGAATAAAATTTTCTCACATTTATGTCAGCATGCCAAAAATCAGCTTTAAACGTCAAGCAGTTTAAGCAGAATCGTGATTACTCAATGGTCATATTTTATGAAACACCCTGCATAAATTTTTACAAATCTTAAAATATGTAAAACAACAAAATAAAATATTCGTGTTTAAGAGTTTTTCCGAAAAACTCACCGGTTTTTAAATGAAAATTATTCTAATATTTGAGGGGTTGTTTCACCCCCTTAGAATTCGAGTTTCGAAAAATCCCTTCTTATCGCACCTCTACACCCTAAAGTCAATCCGTTTTCCAAAAATCACCTTTTTACGTCAAGCGCTTTCAGCAGGATCGTGATTAATCAATGACCAGATTTTTCGAAACACCCTGTATACATTTTTAAAAAATCTTAAAATATGTAAAAAAAACAAAATAAAATATACGTGTTTAAGCGTTTTTTCGGAAACTTGGCCGTTTTTTAAATAAAAAATATTGTAATATTTGAGGGGTGGTTTCACCCCCTTGGAACTGGAATTTCGAAAAATCCCTTCTTATCGAACTTCTACACCCTAGAATGACTGTATGTAAAAATTGAGCTTCTTACGTTGAGTGGTTTGAGCAGGATCGTGATTAATCAGTGAGTCAGTTTAAGCATTTTATATATTAGTATAGATTAAGGAGCATTTTTAAAAAAAAGCAGAAATTTGTTTTTTAGAAATATGTAGTAGTAAGCCATAAACTTTGTCAAAAATCCGAAAGACGCATTATTGTGGCTTCACAAAAGTGAAATTCTTTCCCCATTTCACCGATTTTAGCTCCAGTAGTTTCCAAGATACCCATAGAGAACATCGTAGAAAATTCAACCTGTATAATAATACATGTCATAAATTTTGAAGTGATCTTATTTAATGATATTTAATTCCAATACAGTTAAACTTACTTTAAACCTTCTTCACTGTAGTAAGCATCTCCAGATATATTCAGAACGTTAAGATACTTCAAGTTATTCAGAGATTTTATCACAGAATCGTCAGCTATATGAGGTATCTCCAAGCATTTCAGCTCATTAAGATTACTGATGAGATCGCATAATAATTTAGGGCAATCTCTAGCCCATAAGCCCTTCAAATTAAGGTTCTGCAGTCTCAATCCTCTTTCCAATATTATCTCTAAAGTTATTAAAAGAAAAATATTATAAAATGTATTATGGCTTGGTGCATTTCAGTTGATTGTTAATAAAATTGCCGAAAAAATGTTAACGCGTCAAGGAGAGCGAAATTAGGGCGTTGTTGGGTGCAATAACATTCAATAACTCAACTTTTCCGGATACGCAACTCTCCCGAAACAGCATTTTATAACTTCATAGTTTCTCACACCGATTTGATCAAAAGCAAAAATGAATTCAAGCAGTTCGACGAAACAAGTGAGTAAACAAAGTGCCCGTTACATAATCAAAAAATTAAATAGACATACTATGAGGGGATAAAATATAATTTGCAATATTAATGGTATACTTTTTTTAATCAACTAGTGATTAAATGTTTTATGAACATCTTCTAAAATAATAATTAATGTACCTATAAAAAATTTCGTCATAGCCGAAATAGCCCCAAATGTGCCTCACTAGCAAAACCGATGATTAAAACTATGCTCCCTAGTTCCCTGCCTAGTTGAACTCATCTAAAAAGTTTTTTTTAACTGGAATAATAAATTATAATACAAGTTGGACCTTTTGAAGATATCAAAATATTTACTTTATTTTTATTTTTAGAATTTTTACAAATTATACTTCCTCACACTTTTAGAATAATTAAATAATAAATTTTTCGTATACTCGCCAATTAAACCCGTGTATTTGTATATTACGATATTCTCCGATGGTGGCAGCACCGGCGGAGAATGCGCCAAGCCTATAATCAAATTCTTACTTACCTAATATTCGTTTATGGTAAAATTTGGGAAACATGTCTGTCTCCAAGCTTTTCACGTCCTCTCTCAATAACATCTGCAAGGAGTTAAACCTGATATTCTCTTCTAAGTCCGACGATTTTAAAATTTCTTTCAGTAGAGTTTCCAGCACAACGTACGGAGCACAACTTAAATATTCTCTGATACTTTCAATGTTTTCTTCATCTATTAGGGCGTTTATTAAACTAAATGTCAGTTTTTTATAACAACCTTTTTCTAGGCTATCTGGCTGTATCTTAGGTGACATTTTATTGATTTCTAAAACGAGAAGATTGTTTCTTGAACACTGAAAAAATAATGTTTAAAATAATGTACAGAAAAATAACAAGAAAACACAAACAACACAGTATACAGGGTGGTCCGAATTGTATTCCGGAAAGACATATTCTGCCCATAAAAAAAATTAAAAAAGTTCGAATGTTCTAAAATGCTTAGTTTCGGACATACAGGGACGTTGCATTTTTATTTCGATTTTTTCCAAATAATCTCTGAGAGAAATTTGATGTTGATGTCAATATGACACCTATTTGTAGGGGGCAGTTTTAACCACAAAACACATACACAAGAAGAAGTGCGAGCGCCTTGCTAAATATTGGAAAGTGAAATTGACGTTTAAATTTGACACTGTTGACAAGTCTACTGCTACTAGCGCCCCCAATTTCGCTTGTAGGAACTACGGACTAAATTGTCACGCATGGCGGGAAGTTTAAAAAAATAAAAAATTTTATTTCTTCATTTATTTTTAATTATGACATACACAAAAACACAAAAAATATACCATTTTTTAAAAGTATGTTTAATATCAATATCAAATATACAACAGAAATTAATTTCACCACAATAAATTAATAAAATTAAAAGAATAATGTTACAAGTAGATCAAGAGACAAAATTAATTATAACAAAACTGAAAAAAATGGCGTCATAGATGGCTTAGAAATAAAAGATATATCATAATTTTGAAAGTAAAATTATATGGGAAATGTCTTCGATCGTCATTTTTAAGCCAACTGGACGATTATTTCAAACATACAAGCTGAGTTCGTTTATAGTGCTCTGAGAAATCTAGATAAACAAAGAATAATAAATTAAAAGTATTCCAGGGGAAAAGAGAGGAAAAACCTGTATCGTCTCTGATATCTGTCAGGGTATTGTTGAAAGTGTCATCTTTTTGCTCGAAGTCTTCAGGTCGATCAAAAAAATGACATTTACAACAATACTTTGCTGTAACTTTCACAAATATCAGAGAGAGTACATACAGGTATTGTCTCTCTTTTCCTCTGGAATGCTTTATACCTGTTGTTCTTTGTTTATCTATATTTCTCAGAGCATAATGCCGAACACGACTACAGTATATAATAATTTCAATATCCGAAGTGGAAAGAAAAAAGATCACCTTTGTGTTTTGTACTATGGTCCCTTTCTTCCGATGGCTCATCTCGTTGATATTTAGGAAGGAAAATATAAAATTCAATTTGATTTGATGATCCTTTTCTATCACCTAAAATCAGGAGAACGACAATGAGCATGTTAAGATGAATAAAAAATTATCAACACTTACCTACCTACACGTTAGTCCGAGGAGTTTTATTAAAAACCTATATATTTGCCTAAATAATTTATGTATTAAATTTGCAAAGCAAAATGCAGCGTCTAAACAAAAGAAATAAAATGGCGACAAGTCAACAGTCAACGTCAACGACCCGACAAGGAGAAAAGTGGTGTTCGAATAACAAATTATGGGTCACCAAAAATTGTTTTTGTCTCCTTTCAACGCACACTTTAGAAAGAAAAAGAGATGAACTGGAATACTGAAAGAACGTCAAGGCTTTATCTGTCACTCTTGTCAATAATTTATCGGTAAGGAAGATTCCTAGAAAATCGCTTGTAGTCAAGTTTTCAACCATTGCCAGTTCTCCCATAAGAAGTGTCATCCACCTGGTTTTAACTGTTTTAAAGAATTTTTATTTTTTTAAATTAATCGTAAATTTTTCTTTGAAAAAATGATGATAAAACAGTAAGTTTCTGTTGAACTTTTGGCACAAAAACATTTCAAATTTATTATTTCAGTCTAATAACTATTTAGTCAACATATATACATAGTTTAATTTATGTCAATGATGACAGGTATTGATATTTTAGTTTCCAAATATCTCGCGAATCATTACTCGTAGCGATTTTTACCAAGAGACCTTTTTTAGGTAAAAAACGTCGTAAATGTATATTTTTGTACCAAGTAGTTTTATACAGGTACGCAAGAAAAGTTATTATTCTTCAAATCATTTAAAAAATATGTAGGTGGCGCCCTCTACAAGTAGGAGTCATATTGACAGCAAAATCAAATTTCTCATGTCAAAAAAATTTCTAGACATCAATTTTCATCCAAATATCGACATTATCGAAACAAAACTGAAACTTTTACACCCTGTATCTCCGAAACTAAGCATTTTAGGACATACATTTATACAAACTTTTTTACTTATTTTTATCTGCAGAATATACTGTACTATATAATTTTTGTAAAAATCAAAGAAAACGCTATTAGTAGACAATGTAAAGTCAACAAATCCCTTAATGACGAAGAGGAATGTAGCGATAAACCAATTTATATCTAAAATCTCTAATATTTTCAGAGATAAAATGGTTCAAGTCCAAAAAAGTATAAACAAACATTCTTAAAAATGACCACATTTGTATTTTGAGTTCGAACGTCTCATATATCGCTAGCACATTCGTGAGCAATGCTCATAGTACCAAAACTAAATCTGTTTAACATTTTGTAAACAAATATGTGACAAAAAAAAGCAAAGCAAACTACTTTTTTTCCTGTTACTTTTTCATAAAGTCCATTATTTATTTCACTAGCCCGAATGCCAGCTGGCTTTACGTTCCATTTTTCTTACCTCTAAAATGTCTTCATCTCGACGACATGAATCCTAGAGAACGTTTTGTCCGATGACATGGTAAATGGCACTATTTTTCACCAACACCGACACAATGAAATCCGGCACACAGATAAAAAATAGATCAAAACAACCATCAGCTGTTGACGAATGGATAATACCGACTGAGTACTTAAATTTAGAATTCAGACTTATGCAGCCAGTATTGAGTTAATTTTAGAATTATTATGGGATAAAGCGGTAATTTTTTGTGGGTTTCTTTACGAATACAACGTATATTGAGTAACAAAAAACGCAGAAAACTATTTGTTTATCAGAATTCGATATTTTTTTGCTGTCTACTCTATCTTGCCTTCAATAAAAAGTTATTACATAAGTAGTATTCTTTCGTTCTCATTGCAATTGGAGGAACTTTTAGTGAAAGTGATTTTTTAGTTCACTTCAGTTTATTCACTTGTTTAATGAATGAAAGAACACAATTAGTTTTTTATTTTTTTTTACCCCACTGCTGTAGGTACACATCAAATTTTGGGGTGATCATAATTTATGAGATCAGAGATTATTCCCAAAATCTCATTCGACTGTAACACCCTCTGTTACACGGATATGTAATCAATACTAATATATAAAATCTTTAAGTGACTGACATACTGATTAATCACGATCCTGCTATAAAATAAATAAATAAATAAATAAATAAATACTGATTAATCACGATCCTGCTCAAACCACTCAACGTAAGAAGCTCAGATTTTGCATACAGGTTGATTCTAGGGTGTAGAGGTTCGATAAGAAGGGATTTTTCGAAATTCCAGTTCCAAGGGGGTGAAACCACCCCTCAAATATTACAATATTTTTTATTTAAAAAACGGTCAAGTTTTCGAAAAAACGCTTAAACACGAATATTTTATTTTGTTTTTTACATATTTTAAGATTTTTTAAAAATGTATACAGGGTGTTTCGAAAAATCTGGTCATTGATTAATCACGATCCTGCTTAAAGCGCTTGACATAAAAAGCTGATTTTTGGAAAACGGATTGACTTTAGGGTGTAGAGGTTCGATAAGAAGGGATCTTTCGAAACTCGAATTCTAAGGGGGTGAAACTATCCCTCAAATATTAGTATATCCCTCAAGTATTTTTTATTTAAAAACCGGTGAGTTTTTCGGAAAAACTCGAACACGTGTATTTTATTTTGTTGTTTTACATATTTTAAGATTTTTTATAAATTTATACAGGGTGTTTCATAAAATATGACCATTGAGTAATCACGATCCTGCTTAAACTGCTTGACGTTTATAGCTGATTTTTAGCAAACGGATTTACTGTGGGGTGTAGAGGTTTGATAAGGAGGGTTTTTTCGAATTTCAAATTCCAAGAGGGTGAAAACACCCCTCAAATATTACAATATTTGTTATTTAAAAAACGGTTAGTCATAATTTATTTTGTTTTTTTTACATATTTTGAAATTTTTTAAAAAATCATACAGGGTGTTCCAAAAAGTTGGGTAATTGATTAACCACGATTCTGCTTAAACTGCTTGACTTAAAAGCTTATTTTTGGTAAACGGATTTTTCGAAAGTCAAATTCCAACGAGATGAACCTACTCTTCAAATATCACCAAGTTATATAATAATATCGCCATATTCTTTTTCTCATAAATCTGAGAAAATTTTATCCAGATTGTATGTTAATGGAAATTCTTGCTTTGCTTTATCATTACTATTACAATGATTAATTCGACGCGAACGAAGTCGCGGGTACACGCTAGTATGTAAATATAAATATACAGGGTGATTCTTAACCTATACGCATAAAGTTGGGAAATTATTGCTGATGACAAATAATGACTAATAATGGGAAAAAAAGTTGGTAAAATATTTTTATTTACGGAGGTAAAAAACTATTTGAAATAAAAACAAAAAACGTAAATTCCAAAATTGAATGTGAATTTACTGATAAAGTTTTTTAATTTTTGTGAAAAAAAACTCAAATTTAATTATTTCAGAATCAAAAAATATTTTACCGACGTTTTTTCTTCATCAGCAATAATTTCCCAAGTTTATGCGTATAGGTTAAGAATCACCCTGTATAGGTTAAGAATCACCCTGTAACAACTGGATATCGTTTTTTGAAAAGTAAAATTCCAAAGCAAATACACATATATATGCGATTTATTTACCTATTCACTTTTCTTGATTATATATACGTAGTTATCAGTGTCAAATTTGTATGTTAGTTGTAATTAATTAGCGTGTTTTCCAATTGCCTCTGTGTATACAGAGTCTGTATAAAAATTAGCGTTGAATAGGTCTTTATTTTAACTGAGAGGATTCCCCTCAAAAAAATTCTATAATCATTCCAAATTTTATTCTAAAAGGAGAATATTTGAAAATTTTGATTAAACAGACTACGAAAGGAGTCAATACTATTTATACCATACGATAAAAAAAAACGGCGTCATAGACGACGGGGAATGAAAGTCTATGATAATTTTAGCGGGGTCAAGCCCTAGGCGTCATTAATTGACCCGTATTCTGTATGTTTTAATAGCTCTTACCCTGGTTGGCTTTAAGGTTATAATTTATTTTTATATTGTGTAAAAATAATTTATAAAAATAGTATATTTTAAAAATCGAAAAAATATTTTTTGAAAATACATTTTTTTATGAAAACGTTTTCTCCTTTTTGTATCTTTCTATAATTACTGTTAATATTTGACAAGTTTTATGAATTGAATTTGAAAATGACACTCTAAATAGAATGGCATATCATATTATGGCAACTTTTAATATATTTTTATAATATAAAAATTAATATTTGTTATTGGGTGAAAATAAAAATCACCATATTGACGTCATTATTTCAAGTGGGTGACACCCTATATTAAATTATGTTGTATGCCATCTATCAATTTATGTAAATATATTTTACAAAAATATTCCAATGATTGATGTTCCCCAATTGCATTAAATTTTCACTTTGTATGAACTAGGGATTAAATATCACTTTCCTATCAATTAGGGATTAGACTGAAACCGTTTTAAAATGGATTGGAATCGAGAAATTCAAATTAATATCGCACCAAGCAGCGGAAAATGATTTTTCCAACTCTTTTGCTCGTATTTTTGGTAAACGTGTGCAGTCGTCCCGTTGAAGCGGACATCTGTGGTAAAACTTATCAAAAAACATAGTCAATTTCCTTTAATTATATTTAAAAATGTATTTTTTAGAATCCAAAGCAAAAATAGTATGTTATTTTGCCAGCTGGGCCATCTACAGGGACGAAGATGGCATGTTTGACACCAATAATATAGATCCAACTTTGTGTACTGATATTATCTATAGTTTTGCTGGGTTGGACATAAACCTACAGATTGCATCGTTGGATACGAATGCTGACATCAATCGAGGTATGTAATGATATATCAGTTTTATACAGGTACGGACGAAAAGTTATTACACTTCAAATCAGTTAAAAAATATGTAGGTTGCGCCTTCTACCAGTAGGAGTCATATTGACATCAAAATCAAATTTCTTATTTCAAAAAACTCCCAGACACCAATTTTCATCCAAATATTGACGTTCCTTCAGAAGTTATTTGGAAAAAATCGAAATAAAAATGAAACTTCTACACCCTGCATCTCCGAAACTAAGCATTTTAGGACATACATTTATAAGAACTTTTTTACTTATTTTTATCTGCATAATATGCCTATCTATCTATCTATGTTTTATAGATTTAACAAAGGCCTTTGATAGAGTCCAACTAAAAGACATCATCACCATCTTGGAAAGCAGTAATGTCTCGAAAGAACTCACAGAACTTATCAAAGACTTAAACACAAACACAACAACCCAAATAAGAACAAACTTTACCTTAACGCAGCATCTTCGAACTACAACTGGTATTCGCCAAGGCGACAGCCTCAGCCCTCTGTTATTCAACACAATCATGGATCAAGTAATAAAAACCGTCAAGAATACTGGATTAGGATATCGAATGGGAATGTATAAAGTAAACATATTATGCTATGCCGATGACGCAGTACTTATTGCAGAGTCAGAGGACGACATCCAAAGAATGCTACAAGCGTTTAACAGACAGGCAGAAAAACTTAACATGCAAATTTCCACAAATAAGACCAAATGCATGACCACTACAAAGGAGCCTCTACGGTGCAAATTACAAGCTCAGGATTCCTGGAAGAAGAAGTAAGGAAACAAGCCAATAAAGCTGCCGCAATATCAGGACATCTTAAATATCCCATATGGAAAAACAAACATTTGAGTACAGAATGTAAGTCAAGAATATACAAAACCTGCATACGACCAGTGATGACATATGGTGCGAAAACCAGAGCTGAAACATCAGTAACAAAGAAAATCCTACGAACTACTGAAATGAAGACCTTAAAAATGATAACTGGATACACATTGAGGGACAGACAGAGAAATGTAGACATAAGAGAAAAGTGCCAAACAAACGACATTGTCAGATGGATAAGGCAGAAAATGGAACCAGCATGTCAATAGAATGGGCCCCGACAGAATGGCCATAATAATTTGCAACAACGTACCCCATGGCAGAAGACATACTGGACGACCACCTAAACGTTGGCAAGACAGTTGGCAGTCAACCTCGCAAGAGTTGCTTAGACGAGAAGGAAACCGGAACTAAACAGGCGATACGCCTTCTAAAAGAAGAAGAAGAAGAAGATAATATGCTGCCGAAGTTTCCGGGGAATATAGTTCGCACCTCCTTGAATAATAATTATAAGCCTTGTTTATATATTCTTAAGGTTATAAGTTAGTAATAAATAGGTTAACTATTTTAGGTGGTCTCAGTAACATAACAGCATTAAAAGAAAACAACCCTTGTGTCAAGATATCCCTCGCTGTTGGAGGATGGGGCGAAGGCTCTATAAAATACTCTGTGGTAAGTATTTTGAATAAATACTCATTTCACATCTCCATTTTTTTTGCGATTATTTTAGATGGCATCTTCGCAAGATTACAGGGACAAATTTGCCGACAGCGTTTTGAAATTTATCACGTATTACAATTTCGACGGCATAGACTTGGATTGGGAATATCCAACCAGCAGAGGAGGCATTGCAGAAGATAAAGATAATTTCGTTGTTCTACTAAAAACGGTCAAAGAAAAAATTAGTCCTTGGGGATTCCAGTTATCTATCGCTGTCGGCGCTGAAACTATCTATTATAACATTCCAGAAATCTACAAGTAAGTAAGGGGTAGTCGCCTAAACCGTACTGGCTAGTATCTTTTAAATATTGGTCCATATGTTAAATCTGGATCGAGTCTAAGAAGTGTTCTAACAAAAAAAAAGAGTGCATCTACCAGATACCTTGTGAATGCGAAGAGTAGTATATTGGAGAGACTGAACGTCTTCTAAATGTACGACTTAGCCAGCAGAAAAAACATGTACAAAAAGGTGAAACAATGAAGTCAGGTATGGTAGACCATGTTTGGTCAAAACAGCACAATATAAGTGGTCAGAAGTTCGGGTTATTCACAGGGAACTTCGTTGGAAAAAGCGTAAATTTAAAGAAGCCGTTTTTGTAGCAAACAATAATAACATCTTTAGCAATCCTAGTATGGAAATATCTACAATAATATGGCAACCACTGATAAAACGTACCAATGTAGACATTCTAAGTAGACAAACTCTGGCCAAGTAGTTTTAGGAATTAGTTTAGTTTAAATTACAACAGTATCCTTAATTCTGTTTAAAATTGCTTTATTAGATACGTTGACTACATCCATATTATGGGTTATGATCTCATCCAAAGCACATCAAATGTCACAGGATTGAGTGCCCCATTTACACCAATTGTAAGTTGTATTTTATATATTATATAACTTACTATTTTATCAAGAACAGTTAACCTAATAGGACTGCTCATTCAGTCAAAAGTGTCCGCCAGGTGCATGCGAAAACTACTCGCTTTGTGACGTCATTGTAGTCCTTATCCGGCAACCAATAATACACACACGTGCATTATTGGTTGCCGACTGCAAAACGTTCATTATTTAGTTTATTAATTTAAACATCTTATATATGTAAGCAGTATAGAAAATTAACTGTATAAATCGTATTAAATACTCGGATAATGCATTTTTAAGAACATCAGTTCCCAGCATCACCTTTTGCAAGCATTCTTTTTAGAATACTTCCACATTTTGCTTTAAAATAATTAATAAACAATATCGTGGGCACTTAGTAAGCACTTTGTCACAATCCACAACACAAAATGAACGTATTTAGACACTTTATAGCTCTAAAAACTTTAAAGACACCTTTTTCACATTTAAAATTGACAAAATAATTAACTCAACATTTTTCAGCTGTTATTTTTATAAGTTTACCATAGGCAACTAATAATACACACTATCATGACAAGGCTTTGACAAGGACTACAATGACGTCACAACTGTCAGCTGAAGCGCGGGAAGAAGCGAATGTACGTCTTATGAGGATGAGCAATCCTTTTAGTTTACCGTTCTTGCTATTTTATCACTACCCATCCATCCTCTTTAGTCTTTTCGTTTAATGATTTGACACTCTACTAACATTTTTTTTTATTTTTAACCAATTTGTTATGTCTTAAAGAAAGCTTCTATAAACGCCTGGTTAGAAGGAGGTACACCAGCATCAAAACTGATACTCGGAGTACCTGCATATGGCCATTGCTTCAACTTGCTTGATGCCAGCGATCACGAGATTGGTTCTGCAACAACAACGAACACTTGTGGTGGAGCCTACACTGATGAAAATGGTTTCTTGGCATATTATGAGGTAAAAATAGTTTGATAATATAAAATATGAAGTTAGGTGGGTTTAAATATGTTTCTTTTAGATTCTACTGTTGTTAAAGAATGGATATTGCGATGGAACTGAAGTTAGTGACGATACTGTGTACTCGTGGTGTGGAGATGAGTGGCTTACCTATGATAACGAGGAGACTGTAGCCACTAAAGTAGGTTTCTGTAAAGCATTTTCTCTCTACAGGCTGTCTCAGAAATAAGTGCAAGTATTTTAACCGGTAGTATATTTCGACCCCAGAAAAAGGTCTATGAGTTTTCTTTGCGAGAAAAATTGTTGAAAATTTTATATTTTTTTGACATTTTGATAAAAAAAACTTTTAAGTACCATTGTTTATTCACCTGAACTTTTTTAGGGTGTATCTAATCATTGCAGTGTTGCCACCTCCTACATTATCCGTACGCAACATATTGGTATTGACTGAAATTTTAAATTTCTACATAGATTATACGAGTATTAATATTTTATTATTTTTTTTATTTTAATTTTTATGTCTATCACTAATAAGAGTTCTTAAAAAAAATGTGTTATAAAGTGTTTTTACACAAATGAAAAAGGAAATTAAAGATAAAGGATTATACTATATCCGTATTGTAGCACATTTTTAGACAACTTCTTTATTTTTGAGATTTTGATTTTAGTAGTGATTTTGTAGTTTGATCAGATCTACCACCCCTTAAAATACTTGCACTTATTCCTGGGACACCCTGTATAATTTTTCATAAAAATACTATACAGGGTTGTTCACCACATACGACACGTAGTATTGTAGCTAAACGATTAGATTTTTACAAATTGTAAGGTTTGGGTTCGTTGAAGGACTATTAGAGCTACATTCTAAAAATATTTTTACAAGATACAGAGTGTCCCAAGTAAGTTAAAACTATTATAGTTGTATTTTTTTAAATGGAACACCCTGTATATTATTATATTTTTAGATTCTACGATTAAAATAAAGGTAAATTTGATTAAGGTTTATTACACTTAAACCTTACCGTTTTTGAAATATTTTCAATTTTATGAAATTGCAGTAAAAATTTTAAGGCTTCATTTCTCCAAGGGTATCTAAGTTTTTAATACTAAATAATTACTGAAGTTTATTTATTGATCAGATATTGTGTTGCAATAATAAACGAAATACTACCTTATACAGGGTGTCTAAAAAAAATTATTAAATAATTACTAGCTTTAAACGCCAATAACTTGTTTAATTTAAATGGAACACCCTGTGTATTTTACGAGAATCAGATGCGCAATTTAATTGTCTATCCAATTGTATTATACCATTTTTTACCTATCTCTTCAAGTTTTTGTAGAAGTAGCATTTTCTTATAATTTAGACCTCATTTATCACTATACCCATGGAATATTGACATTTTAGATTATTCATTCATGAGGTCTAAATAATATAAAATGCATTTTCTACGAAAACTTGAAGAAATAAGCAAAGAATGGTAAAATACAATTTGATAGACAATTAAATTGTGCATCTGATTCAAGTAAAATATATAGGGTGTCCCCTATATATAATTAAATTAAACAAGTTATTGCCGTTTAAAGCTAGTAATTATTTAATATAATTGTTTGAACACTCTGTATAAGGTTGTGTAATTTTTATTATTGCAACATAATATCTGATCAATAAATAATCTTCAGTAAATATTTAGTATTAAAACTTTTAATACCCTTGGAGCAATGAGGCCTTAAATTTTTTACTGCAATTTCACAAAATTGAAAATATTTCAAAAACGGTAAGGTTTAAGTGCAATAAACCTTAATCAAATTTACCTTTATTTCAGTCGTAGAATCTAAAAATAGAATAATATACAGGGTGTTCCATTTAAAAAAATACAACTATAATATTTTTTACTTATTTGGGACACTCTGTATCTTGCAAAATTATTTTTAAATTGTAGCTCTCATAGTCTTTCAACGAACCCAAAACATTTGTAAAAATCTGATCGTTTAGCTACAATACTCCGTGTCGTATGTGGTGAACAACCCTGTATAGTTAAAACTTACCTTTTTTTAAGAAATGTAGGTATTTGCCACAAAGGTATATTTATTATTTATTTTCCTTCCAGACTCAATATGTCTTAGACCAGAGTTTAGGGGGAGTGATGGTATGGTCCCTTGACACTGACGACTTTCTTGGTTTGTATGGCAACAAACACGCTATAGTCAGCACTATATACAATACCATAAATTCAGATGCTTCGTTGTTTCTTGAAAACTACGATTAAATTAAAAATAAAGTTGTTATTTAAAAAATAAAACCTTTCACACAGTGAATGAGTTATTCACTTTAAGTGGCATTTTTTCGTTTACACTCAGTACCCCCGCCTTACTAACTCAGTGATTATTATTTCCCCTCGAGCACAAATTTTTCTTTCAGTCAGTTAACATCTAAGTTAACATCAGGAACCTCTAAAATTATTCTGTCAATGTTAGACTATTTTTTTCATAATTTTTTTCTCATGAGTTTCTCAGAAAACCTTCGGAAAATATGTTTTTCATCATTAATATTTGAAATGATTTCTAAATAGAACAATCGGTAAACTACAGGGTGCATCTCAAAAGTGGCTCACCCCTATAACTTTTTTATTGTCTCAGATAAAAAAAGGGATTTGGTATGTTAGTATATGACATAAATTAGGATTGATTGACGTTTTCAATTATTTTCGGTCACTTCCTGTTTCACCGGATACTAACTACAATTTTTGATTTTTAAATGGCACGGTATTTTTTTACTTTATTTGATAGAAAATGACACTCTGAATAGAATGACATATCGTATATCGACTTTTGACATTCCCGCTTAAAAAAATCGTATTTTAAATTTCAATCAAGAGTGCCGTGGCTGTGTTAAAAACACTAATTTTTCATCAAGGAGCCTTGGAAAAATAGATTTGATCGTCTAATGTTTTTCGTGTCTTGTCCTGGCCACCACGGTGGGGTATTAGCATGAAAAAGGTGATCGAAATTCTTCGAAAAAAAAGATAAATAATAATAATAATAATAAGAAAATTTATTGTAATTTGTGTACATAGATTAGATACAACCAAAAGAATTATAAAACACAATAAACAAAAATATAAAGAAAAGAAAAATATACAAAATTAAAAAGACTGGAAATACAGCATAACTGATCAAGTTCCAGCCTTGTTTAATGCATTAACATGTAAATAGCAATAATATAAAAAAAAGAAAATATAAAAAAGAAATACAGGGTTTGCTTAACAATTTAAAAATTTAAAAAGGAAAAAGAAGAAACTTAAAAATGGAAATTATATGTAAAAGTTAATTATTAAAATGATAAGTTAAATCATCTCTGCCATGAATGGCGCTGCTATGGGTGTGTCTAGTTGCATTCATTTGTTTCAACGAAACATCAAAGTTGTTACTTCTCACAGATAAGAGGTAAATGGCTAAATTTTATGTTTAAAATTATAAATTGATGTTATTCTTGTGCTCTTTTTACGTTTATATTATTGTTTTGATTGAAAATGGCTCAGCAAGCTGCAGGTATGTATTCTACAAAAACGTATTATTTGTTTTGATATTCTCTATACTAACGATTTTTTTTGCAACTAAAAGTTAGGCGTTCAGAAAATTTGATTAAATTTGTGACATTTTTATTATACTTCGAGATTTAGTTGCGCATTTCGAAGAATTCAGCATATTGTCTATATACGTTTTACTTAGTAAACATTGGGCTTTCATACAGTAAAATAAAATACTGCGACTTTTGATGATAAAATGAGAAAAACATTCTTGGTTTCCTCTAATTTGCCAATCAGTGATATACTAATGCGAGGTGTAAACCGCGATGGCATTGTTGTGTACAAAGCGATCGCATTAGTGCCATTAGCAGTATAGCACAATTTGGCATTAGTAGCGACTTTAGTGGTATGGGCATTGCTCGCGGATCAGTCATAGCATTAGTAGTATTAGTTGCGATATTACTACTGGCATTAGTGGCATTGACCGTGGAAACACTGGAACTGTGATTTTTCTTTCTTTTTTTAGAATCGACGAATTATCCTTTATTTTGTTCATATTATTTCCTCTTTAATTGAAAATAGCAATAATTTATATAAGGTCTACATAAAAAAATTTCGATCAAATATCTGTGTCAAATACCCCACTGTGGGCCGGTTCAAACATGCCCTAATCGTATTTTTAATCATATCTCAATTTTTTCAAATGGAACGAGAGTGGCATATTAGCATATTTGGAAAAGGCATTTTTTACGAATAATTTTTACCACACATTTGGTATTTTGGATCAATAATTGAGATTTATGGCAACGGGACTTTAAATTAAAATTTAAAATACTATTTTTTTTAATTGAAAATGTCAATAATTCACATTATAATAAATAAAGTAAAAAAATACCGAGAGTTCCCTTTAAAAATCAAAAGTTGTAGTCATTTCCGGTGAAACAGGAAGTGACCAAAAACAATTGAATTCGTCAATCAGTGCTGATTGATGTCATATACAGTACGTCTGTCCGTTCTGTAGCTACGGGGTATACGCATATACGTATTACTTTTTACAAATATACTCAGCCTAATCTCCAAAAAGTGAAGCCCAAACAGTGAAAGAACAATATGGAATTCTGCATAAGTCTATTTCACCCGGATATTCATTTAACTGAGCATGCCTCACCTGAAGAAGTTTTCATTGGTCGATGTTTTTAAAGGGAAGTGGTTGACTGACATTTCCCCTAACCTTCAATTTGATTTATATTTTTATTATTTATAACACATTATCATGGAGTTGGAAAAATATAAAAAAATAGTTGGAAACAATAAACTAAACAAAATCACTCTTTTACGCGCACAAATAAAAAGTAATACAAACAGAACTAAAACAACAATCAATCGGAGTTTGGCGCAATCGCAGTTCAATCCATATCCGGGTGAAATAGACTTATGCAGTTTTAATATGGAGCTGGGTTATGTTGTCTTTTTCTTCCGGCACAGAAATTGCACACGGGGTTAAATAGGGAACCCTGAGTATATTTGTAAAAAGTAATACGTATATGGGTATACGGATACCCCTTACGAAAGAGGGGAAACGATTCTCGATGTTTTTCGTAAAAAAACAGACGACGCGTCCCATCAATAAAAATTCAACAAATTTGCCAGTAGCCAATAAAATGAGTGGGCGGAGCGATTTGCGGTGACGCACTCGTCAAATCGACGTATAAAATATATTGCTGTTTATTTAAATGTTTTTTGTCCGCATTCCTTTCATAGACACAGATCCAGCAGATGTACTGTACTAATATACCAAATCTCGATTTTTTTTATCTGAAAAAAATTAAAAAGTTATAGGGATGAGCCACTTTTGAGACACACCCGTTACAGCGCTTTCAGATGGAACGCAGCGTCCGCGTGTTTTTTCAAGATAGCCGTCGACGAACCGCTCCATCTGATAGCGCTGTAAATCTCAACAGTGCAGCGTCCTGCAGTGAGATTCTGTAGCTACTCCGTAGCAGGAAAGCTCTTGGCTAGCCATTGTTATTTTTATACGATTGATGAGTCACTAGACAGGAAATATGTTTATTACATCCAGAAATGTGTTTGATATCCAAAAACTGAACTCTGTCATGATCTTGGAAAACACACTACAATTTCCAAGCTGAGTTATATATTATTTAAGCATGTATTGGTGAGTTGAACAGCTTTGAACAGCTTTGAACAGATTTTGAACTGCTTTGTTGTTTTACGCTAATAAGCGGTTCAAAGCAGTTCAAAAGCGGTTCAAAGCCGTTCAAACCTGTTTATTAGCGTATTTTAACCGTTCTTACCTGATTTACGCGTATGCGCAGTGCGCCTCCTCCGCCTCCGCCTGGCGTAGAATCGGCCATCTACCTCTACTTTGGTGGTATAAGGCAATAAAAAGGGAAACAATAAACATATTTTAAGATAGTCAAGCCATGTTGAAAGCGTTTAAACTAACGAAATACAAGTTCATGGTGATTCTTCACAGTAAAGATTGTTATGTTGGCCTAAAAAATAAATTACAGAAATCAAAATCGAAATTAAAAACCATTTAGATTTGAAAATAGATTTACTGTATCTAAGAAATTAATGTACGCCTATGCTCTTTGAAGTACAGAAGAACAAAAAATTGTATCAGGTAAAAAATAAAATGTTTAGTTCTCAGCAAAATCTTTAGTCAGTTCTCTACTAGACCGGTACAGAGTAAATTAACAAAATGCTAGTAAACTTAACATTGTTGTTTTATTTTCTCGGGCTGGCTACTGAAGCCTTAGTTTTATTTCCGAAAAACTTGGATAACAGTAATAATTCTGACAAGGATAATTGTACCTGTGTTCCGATGGATTTGTGTCAAGATGAGGGTTATCCTGCTTTAGATGGGGCAGGCCAACTTGATATAAGGTAATTCCACAAGTGATATTTTCACATATTTTTATACTAGCAGCAATTTAAACATATTTTTCTTGAGCACATAGAGCAAAAATGATCTCATTTTTAGTCACTCCTCTTCAGCTGTTGTTTCGTATACCATAGTATCATTCAATATATTCACACTGTCTTAGTTTTCTTGGTATTTTTTAGTTAGGCAACCTTTTTTCGGTGATTAGATTTGTAGTAGCTTTGGCTGGATGTTTAATGTGTCGATTTGTATAGCTTTGGTGTATAATATATGAATTTATGGTGCTTATAACGTCAACCATTTGAAAAATATCACTGGCCATCATTACAAATTTTCTAATATATATTTATGATAAATTAGTACAGACCTAACTTAATTTTATATATAACTCTATAATAAAACAAACAAATATTGTTCACCACATACGACACGGAGTATTGTAGCTAAACGATTAGATATTTACAAATTGTAAGTTTTGGGTTCGGTAAAGGACTATTAGAGTTACAATTTAAAAATATTTTTACAAGATACAGAGTGTCCCAAATAAGTAAAAAATATTATAGTTGTATTTTCTTAAATGGAACGCCCTGTATATTATTCTATTTTTAGATTCTCCGATTAAAATAAAGGTAAATTTGATTAAGGTTTATCACACTTAAACCTTACCGTTTTTGAAATATTTTCAATTTTATAAAATTGCAGTAAAAATTTTAAGGCTTCATTTCTCCAAGGGTATCAAAGTTTTTAATGCTAAATATTTACTGAAGATTATTTATTGATCAGATATTGTGATGCAATAATAAAAATTTTACTACCTTATACAGAGTGTCCAAAAATTTATATTAAATAATTACTAGCTTTAAACGGCAATAACTTGTTTAATTTAAATGGAACACCGTATATATTTTACGTGAATCAGATGCACAATATAATTGTCTATTAAATTGTATTATACCATTTTTGCCCATCTCTTCAAGTTTTCGTAGAAAATGCATTTTCTAATAATTTAGACCTCATTTATCACTATACCCATGGAATATTGACATTTTAGCTTAATTTTAAAGATGTAACAAATTTTCAAAGAGTACATATACTAATATTGTCGATATAGTTCGCTTATTTCATTAAAAAAGTAAAAAAAACTGTTTAAATATTTGTTAAAGAGGACCAATTAATATGATCCCAGTATTCAAACTACATTAATTAACTGTTTACGTTTATTAATAATAATTGTTCCAAATACTAAAAAACTTAATTTTGTGTGTGTATTAAACATTATGGTAAAAAGTAACACCTTATAAACTTTATTTCATTTTTTGAAGAGTGCTTATTTATAAATACAGAGACGTTAATTTTCATAACTTATTATTATATTGACGATTTCTAAGCCAAATCCACATTTATTTAGAATACTTTATTAATTAAAAGAATTTAAAAGTATGTAATTAAGTAATTTTTGTTTGGAAATAATGGTGGTATATTTAATTGGTATACTATTTTACAAAGATTCGAATAGTTTTTTTGTACACTAATGGGCTTGCAATATTTACTACTTGTACATTTTGTATATATCTATATGTTGCTTTTAAAAAATCTGAAATATCAATATTCCATGGCTATAGTGATAAATGAGGTCTAAATTATAAGAAAATGCATTTTCTACGAAAACTTGAAGAGATAGGTAAAAAATTGTATAATAAAATTTGATAGACAATTAAATTGTGCATATGATTCATGTAAAATATACAGGGTGTTCTATTTAAATTAAACAAGTTATTGCCGTTTAAAGCTAGTAATTATTTAATATAAATTTTTGGACACTCTGTATAAGGTAGTAACATTTTTATTATTGCATCACAATATCTGATCAATAAATAATCGTCAGTAAATATTTAGCATTAAAAACTTTGATACCCTTGGAGAAATGAAGCCTTAAAATTTTTACTGCAATTTTATAAAATTGAAAATATTTTAAAAACGGTTTAAGTGTGATAAACCTTAATCAAATTTTTACCTTTATTTTAAACGTAGAATCTAAAAATAGAATAATATACAGGGTGTTCCATTTAAAAAAATACAACTATAATATTTTTTACTTATTTGGGACACTCTGTATGTTGTAAAAACATTTTTAAATTGTAGCTCTAATAGTCCTTCAACGAACCCAAAACTTACAATTTGTAAAAATCTAATCGTTTAGCTACCATACTCCGTGTCGTATGTGGTGAACAACCCTGTATACCAAAAATCCAAACAATATTCAAAAATTAATAAAAAAAATACTTATACCATGTGGAATTATAAGGAAATATTCACTAGTTTGATAAAAAAATACACAGTATTAATTACATATACCCAAGCCATACAAAATCACATACCTACCATAAGTCATGGAAATATTAGAGCATAGACAAAGAGTAGATAAGACAAGAGACGTTAGTGAACAAAGAAGTCGAATTTCGCGAGGGAGACGCAGATATATTAAAATTTAAAGGTCCCATCAAGTCCCATTTTGTCTGTTGCCAAGTATATTTCTTTGAAAAATAAACAAGGTTTTTTGAAAATAAATCAATAATATAAGAAGGATATAAGTAATGTATGTTAATACGGAAATGTAAATTTTTAGTTTAGGTTAGTTTAGGTTCTTTTTTCGCAATGTACTGATAATATCAAAGAAACAGAATGACTAAGTTGATCGATTTCAAAGATAAACAGATAAAATCTCAAAATCTGACAACGGCGGCGTATTTTATCTAATCTAACCTATGATTTTAGGACGCTAATCAACTGTGCTAATCAGGCTTAAGCAGAAACAAATCTGATTAGTTGTTTCTTGCATTTTTGCCTTTTTAAAGTGTGTTTTCGCAGTTTTTCGATATATTATCGTTTTGAGAGTTTTTAAGGTTTAATTTTAGTATCGTTTTTGTTGCGTACTAATTTGTAAATATTGTTAAATATGAATACTGAACAGGACACCAGTAGCAGGAAAAGACGAGATGGTGGCAATGTGTGTGCTTATAAAGACTGCAAAAATAGGTCTTATTCTTCGACAAACATAATATTTCACTATTTTCCAAAGGATCCTGAAAAGTATTTTTATAGAAATATACTATATAATTATGTTATTAAACTAAATGTAATCCATAGATCGAAGACATGGTTAGAAGCTTGTAATATATTTTTACAAAATTGAGCAACTCTATTTTTTTGTACATAAACTCCACATTGTGATTTTACACTTGTTCAAGTCCATATGTAAAAAAAATACACGTAAATAAAACAGTTGTTACAAATCGACTTGGTCACTTTATCTTGTTTACCAACGATATACAAAATATTGCTTTTATTATATTTATTCCCCGACAAATATGTTTCTAATTATAATTTATTTTATATGATATTTGGAAAACTCATTTTTTTTTCGTTTCTATTTATTTCTTTACCCATACAGTAACTATTTATAAGCTATACAGGCAAGTTTTAATAATAGTCTATTTCAAATTTCCCGCGAAAAAATTACGAAAATTTAAAGGGACAAGCGAGACGAGGTCACTCTCCCCACCACTCAAACATGAAAGGTACCGCGCGAACTGTCGTCTCTTGTCTTATCTACTCTTTGGCATAGATACAAAGAATCTTTGACATTTTTTTTCTCCTTTAGAATATTTTCTACTGCTGTATGTTCTAACTACTACCATGTTTGTTGCAAGAACCCTATGGACCCGGTAGATGAACCAAAATCTGAAATAAGTAGTATATTATAAAATGTTTTTCAATTATTAATGCTATTATAAAATTATTATAAATTACAGAATGTGGTTACAAGTACACAGTACCTTTTAATAAACGGATAACAACATATTCTGATGACAGTGAGTTTGCTGAATTCCCATGGACAGTTGTAGTACTTCGTAATGGGGATCAAGAGAATGATAGTCCGATATACAAATGCGGTGGCTCTTTGATACACCCACAGGTAAAAATTCTGTGAAATAATATAAATAAACATACCTTACTATACAGTGATATTTTATTTTATTTTGTCCCAATTTTAAAAGACAGTATTTATTTTTTAATTTTATTGATATAAAGTATATTTTTTTAAGGGGACACCCTGTATATTCAAAGTTGTATTAGATATCACATTTCTTTCTGATTTCATAAGTTATATTACACATGCCCTTTCTTTTAATAATTTTATTTCAATTTAATATAAATGTTTAAAAATATACCGGGTGCACCTCTGTAACTTTTTTATTTTTTCAGATAAAAAAACAAGATTTGATATATTACTTACTATATGACGTAAATTAGGATTGATTCACGTATTCAACTGTTTTTGGTCACTTCCTGTTTCACCGGAAATGACTACAACTTTTAATTTATGTCATATACTAACATATCAAATCTCATTTTTTTATCTGAAAAAATAAGAAATTTATAGGGGTGAGTCAATTTTGAGACGCACCCGGTATAGTAAGTATGTAAAGTTGACAGTAAGGCCAACTACATAATAAGTACCTTAAAAGCAATAAACATATTGATGATGATGATGTTCTCCAAATCTCCGAAATCAAAAAAAGTTAAAAAAATAAGTATGTGCTTATAATATGACTTTTAGGTGGCCTTAACTGCAGCTCACTGTGTCAATAACATGGCAAAAAGAACACTTCTTGTCAGAGCGGGTGAATGGGATACAAAAGTCACAAACGAGCCATTGCATCATCAGGACGTTCCTGTAGAAGAAGTGGTTATCCATGAGCAGTTTAATGTAAATATACCGTATGGTCAAAATGTTTTTATTGACAAGCAGGCTATGACTACGACAGTGACAAATATCCTATTATAATTTTCCTAATAATAATTGTCATCATCCAAAGCATGCTTGACCATAAAACTTTTTGATGACAATATATTATTATGTTTAATTCTAATAAACCTTTGAATGACTATTGTTTCTTTTTTAATTTCTTTTAGGAAAATTCATTAAAAAACGATATAGCTCTACTATTTTTGGATGAGGAATTTGTTATGTTGGAAAATGTAGGAATTATATGTCTACCTCCAATGAAAAAGAATATAGGTAAATATGATTATATTATAATTATGTATTATTTTTTTTACAATTTTTGACAAAGATAAAATCTAACACGTGCTTTGATTAAGGCTTGCAGAGCTTCAACATTTGCCATAAAATAGCGAGCAGTTTGTTACAAAACCATATAAATTATACAGGGTGTCCCAGAAATAAGTGCAAATATTTTAACTGGTAGTATAGTTCAACCCCAGAAACACGCCTATGAGATTTTTTTTGCAAAAAAAAATGTTGAAAATTTAAAATTTTTCTTGACATTTTCCGGGAAATTTGAAAAAACTTTTTAGTGCCACTTGTTTATTCACCTGAGATTTCCCTACGGTGTATCTAGACCTTGCAGTGTTGCAACCTCCTATGTTATCGACATTCTACATAGTTCGGCGGAACATAGTTCTACATTTATAAATTCATAGACAAATTTCTACTCAAAAAATTAGGAATGGTAAATTTAATCTTTTATCAGTGCTCATTATTATAAATTATAGAAAAAAAAACACATTAATTATTTTTAGTACTTACCCTTTCAATGAAAACTTAACAAAAATCACCGAAAATTAACTAAAACATTACGTTTACGAAAATCTTTGTTATGCTGCAAAATAACTTTATTTTGGAATAAATTTAATAAAATGATTCATATTATTCACAATCAGGTCATAAAAAAGAAATTCCTAAAATGTTTATCGTAATTTAGAATTCAATTCAAGAAATTTAGAAAACAGCCCAACGAATAATCGATTCATTTTTGTTTTGTTTGTTTTCTTTCATGTTTCTCTGTTTTATTTGAACCACTGTTTTACAAAACACCTTGAAAAGCGCACATTACTTTGAACACCTTTCTGAATGAATAAATCTTGAGAATTATTGTCTCTTATCGCCACTTTACGAACTACTTTCAATATAAGAAAATACATGTTTCACTCAACAATTTTAAATAGGTATTTTGTTTTTTCGCTATTTTTTCGATGTATTTCGACAATTCCATCGACAGCCTAACCGTCAGCCAAGAGCGCCGCGTGTAAACTGGTCCTTTGAGTCGACGGTCGCCGCGCCGTCGTGGCGGGCTTGCGTCAGACGACGATGTTAAGCAACGTTGTCGTAGTTACAACAATTTCAAATTCAAGACATTCGAAGCAATTAAATTCATATTAAATTTTAAAAATAAAACAGAGAAACATGAAAGGAAACAAACAAAAATGAATTGATTATTCGTCGGGCTGTTTTCGATGTATTGAATTCTGAATTACGATAAATATTTTAGAAATGTCTTTTTTGTGACCTTATCAATAACCAATTCATTTGTGTTTTGTTTGTTTCCTTTCATGTTTTTCTATTTTATTTTTAAAATTTAATAAGAATTTGATTTCTTCGAGTGTCTTGAATTTGAAATTGTTGAAACTATGGCAACCTCGCATGACGCAAGCTCGACACGGCGGCGCGACAAAGGAGCAGTTACCAGTGATGCGCGGGTCTCTTGGCCGACGCGACGGTTGGGCTGTTGATGGAATTGTCGAAATACATAGAAAAAATAGCGATAAAACAAAATACGTATTTAAAATTGTTGAGTGAAACATGTATTTTCTTAGATAGAAAGTAGTTCGGAAAGTGGCGGTAAGAGACAATAATTCTCAACATTTATTCATTCAGAAAGGTATTCAAAGTAATGTGTGCTTTTTAAGGTGTTTTGTAAATCAGTGGTTCAAATTGTGATGAGGCCTATATGAAAATAATGTGTTAAAAATGGGGACTGTTATTTTAGTAGTTATTATCATAGCATGTACAAGTAAAGCAGCACAGTGAAGTGTATTTTAGTTAAGTGTATACCGAAAAAGAGAACTGTCACAGTTACATCGATCTGTTATAAGTATCTTTTTTAATGTTGGGTAAGTTTTTTAATTTAACTTTTTTAACACATTATTAAACATTCAACTTTTAATTTATTTTATGTAATAATATCACAATCTTAAAAATGTAATGCATCTCTGCAAACTCCTCAGGTGTTTTTTATGACTTACTTTTAACATATACTTTCTTGTCCCTATGGCAACACAGTGCGTCGAACTAACTGAAATCCGGGCTTGATCCGGCTAATTGGATGTAGTTGGCGATATCTGCCGGCTGTTCTCAAAATGTTGCGATTATTTTTTTAAATTTTCAAAGTTAAATAACTCGGTTGTTTTCAATTTATTTTAAAAATGGTAAAGAGAAAATATGTTTATTTTGACCAGATTTACCACCCCTTAAAATATCTGCACTCATTTCTGGGACACCCTGTATATCACTGTAATCACGAAACTTCAATCCATTTCCGTATTGTAACAGAATTTCAAATTATGTCTTTATTTTCAAGAAAATTTAGTCCAAACATAACGTATATTTTGTTTACGTTTGACCATTAAAATCTTAAAAATAAAGAAGTTATCTAAAAATGTGCTACAATACCGACATAGTATAATCCTTTATCTTTAATTTCCTTCTTCATTTGTGTAAAAACACCTAGTCAGTTTTACATAAAACGTTAAATGCCGAACGCTTATTTTGCTACTTTTTTTTCTATAGAAAACATTAGATGTCTGGCCACCGGTTGGGGCAAGGACGCGTACGACCACGGCAAGCACTCCTCCATCCTGAAAAAAGTGTCCTTACCTTTGGTACGGAGGAACGACTGTCAGAAAGCTCTGCGACGAACCAGGTTAGGCCCTTTCTACACTCTACACGAGAGTTTCGTTTGCGCGGGCGGAGAAATGAAGAAAGACACGTGCCAGGGCGATGGGGGAAGTCCCTTGGTGTGTCCTATCAGAGGAGAAAAAGAAGTAGGACGTTCTAGGTCAGTAGAAGCTAAGAATAAAACGGGCTACACATTATACGATTTATCGTACTGCAGGTTGTACAACACAAATTTGATTTTTTTGTAGATATTACCAAATGGGCATTGTCTCTTGGGGTATAGGCTGTGGCAATAGCAGAACTCCTGGAGTATACGTCAACGTTGCCACATTTGCAGACTGGATAGACGATCACATGCAGTCCAGAAACTTCGACACAGCCTTTTACAAATTTTAATATATAATGTGCTTCTTTAACATTTTGAAACAGTAAAAAATTAGACGTTAGTAAATAATAAAAGGTTTCTTCTCTTGTAAAATCGATCTGAGGACATACTGTATAGAGCAATTTATTGTGAGACTGTATACAGGGTGATCCGAACTGTATTCCGGAAACTTCGGCAGCTTATTCAACAGATAAAAATAAGTAAAAAATTTGGTATAAATGCATGTCCTAAAATGCTTAGTTTCGGAGATACAGGGTGTAGAAGTTCCATTTTTATTTCGATTTTTTCCAAATAATTTCTGAAGTAAAGTCAATATTTGAATGAAAATCGGTGTCTCGGAGTTTTTTGACTTGAGAAATTTGATTTTGATGTCAATATGGCTCCTACTAGTAGAGGACGCCACCTACATATTTTTTAATCGGTTTGAAGAGTAATAACTTTTTCTCCGTACCTGTATATGACTACTGAGTAAAAAAATATACATTTACGACGTTTTTTACGTAAAAAAGGTCTCTTGGTAAAAATCGCTACGAGTAATGATTTTCGAGATATTTGAAATCGAAATTATCAATACCTGTCATCGTTGACATTAATTAAACATTGTGCCAAAAGTTCAACAGAAACTGTTTTATTATCATTTTTTGCAGAAAAATTTATGATTAATTTAAAAAAAAAATCCCAAATTTATTATTTCAGTGAAATAACTATTTACTCAACGTGTTTATTTTTCGTCAATAATGACATGTTTTGACTATTTTCATTCTAAATATCTTAAGAACGGTTGCTCGTAGCGATTTTTACAAAGAGATATTTTTTACGTAAAAAATCACAGAGACGTATATTTTTTCGCTCGGTAGATTTATACAGGTACGGACAAAAAGATATTACGCTTCAAAACAGTTAGAACGCATGTAGGTGGCGCCCTCTACTAGTAGGAGTCATATTGACATCAAAATCAAGTGTCTCATGTCAAAAAACTCCCAAACACCCATTTTCATCCAAATATTGACGTTACTTCAGAAATTATTTAGAAAAAATTGAAATAAAAATGAAACTTCTACACCCTGTATCTCTGAAATTAAGCATTTTAGGACCTACATTTATACGAACTTTTTTACTTATTTTTATCTGCAGAATATGCTGCCGAAGTTTCCGGAATACAATTCGGACCACCCAGTATATGTATAGGAAAGCCAATAAAAGTTAGGCTGTCATCAAAATATTTGAGGAATGCAACTCGCAATAATGCCAAGGTTACTTTTTTTACTTTGACTTTTGACAAGTGTCAAATATAGCTGAATGAAAGTTGAAAATATACAGTTCCAAACGATTAACACTGTGAAAATACAAATTTGTGAAACAAAAACTCAAAATATAATTGAAAACGACAAATGTTCGACAAAAATTCAAAAAAAAAATATCGTGACAACCGGCAACATTAGCCATGACCACCAACATAAAGACTTTTTTATCAGGCAATTAGTCTACTTGATATACGACAGTATTCTGTCTTTTTTTAACCAGGATATGATATTATAAAAAAAAGGAAAAATTGCTGTGGGTTTTTGACGACGTATACGCCATTTTATTGGTTTCTCTTTATCTATGTACTATTTAAATATTTTTGTATTATATAATATTATATTTGTAACTATTTGTATATTATTTCAAAAATAAAATAAAAACTTATTTCAAACACGACTTTTTTTAATTATTTTATAACCTTCAAAATTGTTATTGGAAAATAATATTTAAAATTTATGGCGTTTTATATTTTTGGCTGCTCTCCAATAACTTTCCGCGCCCCTTTTGCCTATTGAAACGGATCGGGAAACAAGTTTCCATTACTTTCCAGTGGAAAATCCACAACAAAGGGAAAATAATGGATTCCGTGGATCGGGGAACTGTCAGAAAGTTTTATGATGATGCTAAACAGGGATTATACTGCATTAGAGGCTTGTAAATATTTACGAGAAAAAATTATTTTAACTTTATTTCATGAATTTTATTTTAATTTTTACGGCTAAAAGAGCCTATATACCTAATTTATTTATGTTTTTCAACTTTCGTTATATATAGGGTGAGTCTTAAATAAGTGCAAAGATTTTCAGGGCTGGTAGATCTCGATAAAAAATCATATTTTATCTTTACAGTTTTTCAAATCTATATATTTTGAAAAAAAAAATTTAATTTTTTTTTATTATTTGTGTATATATAAAAAAACATTTTTTTTATTATTTGTATATTTGTTTTTGTGCTTTTTTGTTTTGTGAATGCTTTGTCGATGAAGCTGTTTTGGCTTTTTGTACAATAAAGCGTCTTTTTTTTTATTAAAAAAAAATTGCGCCGGGAGGCACGTATAGCCGCCCATACTAAAATATGTTAATAAAAAAATTGGTAGGCAATTCTTTTAGTTCCAAAGTAAAGGAATTTTTCCAATTTTTTATAAAATTCCAGTTATTATTCCAATTATCTCAAAAACTGCGACTTTGACTGATTTTGATGTTATTACAAATTTTGTTGCAAATATTATTCCTAATTTTAAATTGAAAACCGCGTTTCGCTAGCTACTGTAATTTTGGGGCTACGATTTTTTTAAATGTTTAACCCCCTCCCATACCCCCTTTCCAACCCCCCACCCCCACCAAACACTAATGGCCAGATTCTCGGGTGCCACAGTATTTTTGTGCCAAATTTGGTAAAAATCGATTTAGCGGTTTTTGAGTTATCGTGTTACAGACGGACAGACGGACAGACACCATGAAAATATTTTGTATTTAGGTCATTTATGACCCAAATAACTTATTTTGAGTGAAATTATTTTTTTTGCCGATCTTAATAGCGTACCCTATCTATTGGTATGGTCGGCCAAAAAAAATTTGGTTGTGTAAAAAAGGCTAAATTAAAATTTGAAAATTATTGTAATTTTATTAAAGAAAACCCCAAGTGCAGAATTTTTACAGCAAATAATCATAATGATCTATAGAACAGATTCCTGCAAAAAAGTGAATTTTGAAAAAAAATGTCGCTTGGAACCCTGTGGTTCTCAGCCCTCAATACTTCTAATTTCAACAGCGACAGATATCTGTCACTGTCACTATTCAGAACTTTAGCACGAGATACACTAAAACTCTAAAAAATTATGCACGTGGTGCAATAATATCCATCCGTATATTAGGTAGCATATTTTTTTACGATCATCTCTATATTAGCTGTTGGCATATTTTTTAGGATTCATTTGACCTATCTGGCAACCGTGACTCAATAAACACATAAAAACACGACTATAAACTCCATTCCACGCAATTTCGGACACCCTGTCCAACATTAAACCAGTAAAAACCCCCGAAGTCACTTCGCACCTCCAAAATTAAAATTTCCAAACAGCATTTTGTAATCAAAACAACTAAATCGCTCAACGCGTGCGTAAAATATTTTTAGAAACGGCCGGAAAAATTCGTACGGCTACTTTATATCTCTCCTCTGAATACGTCACATTGGCATGGAGCCATCAAACCGATTCAAAAATAAACCCGGAGAAAATCAACCAGTAAAACCAACGTGTTTTCCGATCGAACATGTCTCCCAAGAAACCTGTTGAAAATCTGTCTAAATTGTGTGCGGAAATAGTGATTCTGGAACTGCAAAACATCATCAAAAGAAACGGTGAAGACAGTTTGACGTTTCTCGAACAGTACATTGAAAACATACCTCAAAAACTTGCAGACGACTTGTTACAAAGCGTACTGGACATCAGTAACCTCACATCTCCCTCAAAATGGATCATCTTCAACGCATTCCAGCATTTTTGTACAAGATTCGACTCAAGAAACGTATCTCCGAAGTACCACGAAAGATTCGTTGAAAACCTCAAGCACGTGTACCATTTGAACCTGACAGGAGCTCGAGTATCAAGTGTTTGCATCAAAAACCTCATCAAAAGATGCCAGAATCTACGCTCATTGGTAATTCCTGGTCATGCCAATAACGATATACTAGAACTAATCGGAGGTTTACCCAAACTCGAGTTCCTAGACATCAGTAATGGTTCCTTCACCCTTGAAGGTCTGAAATTCATCAAAAACCACTCCATACAAGTCCTGAGCATCGGAGTTGTTCTAACACGCAGTCTGGCTTCGTCAGATCAAGGGTACGACATCCTAGTCAATCTTATCGAGCAGTTACCAAATCTAACCGAAATCAGAACATACGGCTATACTGGAGGTGCCTTGCTCTATTTCAAGAAACCTTATGTTTCAAAGTTAAGGGTTCTATCAGACTGTTTTACTAACACTGAATCAATGAAAGCCATCATTGGTGTATGTCCAGACCTTCAAGAACTCACCTTGGACGACCCGGAAGTTGAAGTATACGACCTCCTCGAAGAACTAAAACACTTAAAGAAGTTAGTGCTGAGGAGGTTTTGTGCAAAACCGTCAGAAATTTGCTTGAAGACACTTACTTTGGAAACGCTACAAGCCCAGAATGTTTGTTTAGACTTAAAAGACATGTGTATTACTTTGGAAACATTACGATTAACGCACTGTGTGATTTTGGATTCATCCAAAAGACCTAGATTATTCAAAAACCTCAGAGTTATTGAGCTAATTGATTGTGATGTGGATAAAGAAATAATAATGACTTGTTTACGGACTTGCGACCAGCTCCAGAGGTTGGCGGCATCAAAAGAACTGAATTTGACAGACGAGGATATTAAAAAACTGTGCGAAAGGCGGTGTTTGGTGAATTTGGAGGAGTTGTGGTTATCGATAGCGCGGAATTTAACGAGTGAGTCTGTGATAACGCTGATGAATCACTGTGATAAACTGAGGTTGATCGGGACTTTGAATGGATGGCGCATGGAAAAGGTGGAAGTGAATTACTTGAAAGGTGTGATTTATTTTACGAATACTATGCTGGATTTGATGTACTTTCGTGGATTTTAATGTTTGTGTTGTTATTTTAATTGTAATATATGTTGTTTTCTAACTGTTTTTTTTGAACCTTTGTTGTATTTGTTAATGTCACCTTTTCCTACAAATTAAAATGAACTAGTCGTATCTTTGTCTGTATAAAGTTGCTAATATTGATGCTCATTTCGTACAAAAGTAAGTACCAGTTATTATTTTTTTATAATAATTTTGCTAAAAAATATTGTTTTTATTTGTGTAAAAGTGTAAAAACTAATTAAGTTTTTACACTAGAATTAATATTATAAACCCAAATAAAATATATATTTACCAAAATAAAACAAAATAAATCTGTTTTCGTGATCAACAATATTCGGATAAATTAAATTCTTGGCATATTATTTAACTTTTCCATCGTTTGCAATATTTTTAATGTGATAAATATTAATTTTTGTGGTTTGTTATTGACACTATCTTAAAAATTAATTTGGATCGGTATAGAATGCATGTAGTATTACGTACTATACAGGGTGTTTCAACAAACATGTGCCGTCTCTCGTGGGGAAAAATAAGATTATTTTTTTATATCAACATAGCTCCAATTCTGTTTTGTTACGTAGCTACAGGGGGTTAAAATCTTTTTTAGCCGAATAGGGATGGTAGGCTATTAAGATCGGCAAAAAAAAAGTTTTTTTAATTTTCACTCAAAATTAGTTATTTGGGTCATAAATGACCTAGATACAAAATATTTTCATGGTGTCTGTCTGTCTGTCTGTCCGTCTATCTCCGCTGAACCGATTTTAACCAAATTTGGCACAAAAATACCGTGGCTCCCGAGAATCTGGCTATTAGTTTTTGGTGGGGGTGGGGGGTTGGTAAGGGGGTACGGGAGGGGGTTAAAAATTTTAAAAAATCGTAACTCCAAAATCACAGAAGCTAGCGAAACGCGGTTTTCGAATTAAGATTAGGAATAATATTTGCAACAAAATTTGTAATAACATCAAAATCAGTCAAAGTCGTAGTTTCTGAGATATTAACATATTTTAGTATGGGCGGCTATAATACGTGCCTCCCGGCGCCAATTTTTTTTATTTATTATAGTTTTCTTCCAAGTGCTTTTAGTGACTTGAATGAAACATTTTGAGGGTAAATGTTGGTATAAGTGCTATATAGTTTAATTCTAAAAAAGTGTCAACAGATTTACCTGATTATCATTGTAATATTTTTTCTAAAAAAAGCATGTGTGCAATGACTCATTATTTATCTTGAATCTTAAAAATATAATAGTACAAGAGCTAGCAACGTCGGGAAAACGAGAATTTTAACTGACCAAAGGGCAAGCCATCTGGCTGCCGGTAGACTACTGCGGTTCACTACTGCGCATCACATCTGTACAGGGTATCCCATTTTCGTGTGGTTTATAAGATTTCTCGTTTATGAGTAGAGATACAATGATGCAAATTTCACATTACTTTGCCAATTTTTTTGATTTGGTACACTAAATATGCTACACATTATGTTGTCCTAGCCTCCTTATTTCTGAAATACAATGCGACTTTGTGATGCGCAATAGTAAACGGACGTTGAATACAGATATGATGCGCAGTAGTAAATGCAACGTCTACCGGCAGCCAGACGGTCTGCACTCTGTTCAAAACATATATTAAAGAACCAGTTTTCTTAAAATTCTCTCTCAAAAACGTTGCTAGCTCTTACACTATAAGAAAAACAGCAAAATCATTATGGAAATGAAAAAAAAATGACACCAATCACAAGCAAATCGTATCTCCGATGAACGGAGGCATAAAAATGCGATAAATTTAAAAACTGCGTAATTTTCTAACCAATCGAAGTCCTTAAATTCAACCAACAAAATTAATATCGTATCATCGTATCGTCGGATAACGGATGCATGAAAATCAAGCTTTATTTGTATTACAGGATTTATTAATCTTCAAGACTTAATTATCTTTTAAATAAAATAATAAATCTTGAAGTCAATCGCTACTTTTTTTCTTCCTTACTAAACAGAAGAAATCCTTCTTCATTTCAGTGCTTCTTTTTATTATAGACTGCCGTCTTCCGACTTGAATAATACATGTCATCTCCGCCGCTAAAAATTGTATAAATGCGGAAGAAAGGAGCGCACACGTTAGCGCATAGGCGCATGCTACGAAATCAGTGCCGTTTTACCACCGACCGGTCTGGAAACCCCGACTCTGTTTCAGTCCAAATCCAGAGTCTGGAAAGGCAGAACGCGTCCGAAAAGCCTGTCCAGGTTTGGCACACGCGGTTTTTTCGATCGACACACAAACTACAAACAAAGAACGATAAAATTCTGACGCTTTATGAAGTTTCTACCTGTTAAAAATTCATTTTTCTCGAAGCCTTGATCAAATCAATCCAAATTAATCCAGATTTAATTAGTTCATAATTAAAAAACTTCGTTTAGTGACACCTTCAAAGCTCTAATCAAGTTCTGCAGTGAAGGATACTTTGAATTATTCTAAAAATCGCTAATAAGTTAAAGTTTTTGAATGTTAATGAAGATGTAAGCGAGTAAAATCAGGAAACTGCAAGAAAAAATGTGGAGTGCTTTGGTGTTTACATTTTTGACAATGGTGTTGAGTTGTGTTAATCCATGTTACAGTTTTCAAGGTATGTATTAGTACTAAGACTATTTTTAAATTAAAGAAAAAGGTCGAAATGTTGAATATCAAACTTTCGCCATAGTTTAAGGAAAAGAGTAGTTGCACTCTCGCAAATATTTTCTGCCAGTTTTTGCAAGCTGTCGAATATCGGCAGCTTGCAAAGCGTTTCAGTTGAATTCCGTCCGTCGAGCTGCGAGGTTCGAGCGTTGCGTCCCAGAACAGAGACGGATGGACAAAAAGTGAGTGCCTTACTGTGTGCTGCTATTAATTATTGTAGTAATAATTCAAAAAATTGTTCTTTGAGTTTTTTTAGATTTCCATCGGATGTAAATCGGCAAGCTGATAGTAATTATCAATAAACATTTAATTATATTTGTTTATTTTAGAAGCTGAGATATTATGTAATTAATTAAATGTTATTATTTTTTTTAGCATGTGGGCAAATCTTAGAAATAGTTTTTTATATATACAGGTTGTCTCAAATATGCGCATGAAAATATTCTTTGGTATAAAGGTATTCTTTTGAAACAATTTTGTAAATATTTTGTACATCTAAAGTCTCCGCAAATTATTCATATTTTTTAAATGAAAGAATTTTATAATAGCATAATCTATTATAAATTTAGTGGACTGTATGTTTTTATGTTTTTTTTTATTTTATTTATTTTTTATTATAAGTGGTCGTAATATAACAATATTCAAAATATTCTAGACAAAATATTGAGTTTATATTTGAGGGAAGAAAAGTGCCACACCTAGCTTTAAACCACCGTAAATATACAGTGTGGCCCATTATTGCGAGGAAGTTCAATATCGTCGTTCTTGTCGAAGATGTGAAAAAAGTTTTATTCATATGTTTCAAGGTTTATAAAGAGTCGTATCCTAAAATATTTTGTTATATACAGGGTGTCACAAAAAAGTTATGGTAAAGTTAATTTTTTTTTAATTATTTTACATCATTCTATATACATTATTCTATATAGGGTATTTTTTATGGCGATGGCGTCACCAAAATCGGAATATTTAAAATTGTATATCTCAATTTTTTTAAATGCAACATTCTGTATATTATTTTTCGGTCAGATGCAGAATTAAAAAGTGAATAATTTTTTATTTAAAGTGTTTCTCTAAATTTTTAACGGTTTCGCAGATATTCGCAGTAATAACTTACATATAGCTCTTTCAACAGTAAATTTTTATCAAAGCCACCTAATATGATCTTTGTCTGATATTTTATCGTTGAAAATCCCATATGTAATGAAATACAGAAAATATTTGCAAAACGCCTAAAAATTTAAGAACACTTTAAATACAAAAATGTTCACTTTTAATTTACATCTGAAAGAAAGAAATAATATACTAGGTGTTGCATTTAAAAAAAAATGAGATACAACATTTTAAATATTACGATTTTGGAGACGCCATAAAAAATACCCTGTATACGATAAAGTAAATTTTTCTACACGAATTTATTCTGGTGTCCTTGTCATGTTTAAGAAAACATAGCTAAGTATTAATAAAGTTATATTCACTCTAGTTTTTTGCCACTTTTCATATATAATGTTTTTAACCAAAGTTTTTTAGTAAATAAGAAATAGAATGGCAACACCGCAGTGTGCTTTAAATAGAATCCAGTTATCTACAGAAAATTAAACTTGTTTTAAATAAAAAAAAAATGTAGAAAATCTCTGAAATAGATAATAATATAAAAATATGTCATTATATATATTTTCCGCATTTCTTCCCATCAGAAGATTTTCAGATACAGAAGAATTGTTACCTACACGAAATGTGAAAACATTCTGTTTTCAAGCAAGTTTTTACTCGATGATCAATTTATTTTATTTTATTGGGAACTCAAATTTTTCTAAATACATATCTGTGAAATTACGGCGAGTGCCACGACTATACTTTGCCTAGTTAATAGACCACAACTATACAGCTACGTCGGTGGTCACGGGAAGCGAGAACAAGGTCATATAAAGTGGCAGAAAAAGAACAAAGGATTTGACAAGGAGTAAATCTACTAGTTTCTTTCGCTGTCTTTTTAATCTTTAGTTTTCGATATCTTGATATCCATACGTTGTTGCATTTTCATTACCGCACTCCTCGTTTAGTTGACGTCTTGATGTCTCTACGAGTCTAAGACAGAAGACTGTTTTTCAAAAAACATCCTCATTTAAAACGTCATATAATTATTCATTAAAAAACTCCAAATTCGATTCTGTTCAAATTTAAAACTCGTTAGTCGTCCAGTGACAGCTTCAAAACTCCGATCAATGTAATTAGAGTTAGTTTCCACAGTTTAAAACTTTCTTTGGATTGCCAG